TGCAGATGCTATTCAGTTCATAAAAATACAATTTTAAGGTTCTGGAGATCTTCAGGTGGATGCACAAGAGAGAAAATGGGGGAATTTAGTCATTTTTGGGCATATATTATTCATGTGAATGTAAGTGAGAGCTGAAAGAAAAAAAAGGGTTGTAGCAACTGAAAAATAACCCCTTTTAATAGCATCTTTGCACGGCTTTGATTCACCACAGGTCCTATTTCAAAAAATCAATCATTGTAATCTGGAGACAGCAATTAACTCTCCATCCAATAATTGCCTTACGAGGCCTGTGTGAAACATAGACGAGGCCGCTCAGATCCGGTTTCAGCTTCATGTCCTCTGTATCAGTCAGTCATAAATGAGGTCATCAATTAGCTAGACAGCTATTTGTTACAATAAAGACAATGAAAATTAACAATATGAAGTAATGCTGCAGTGTATAAACACAGACATAACGAGACTCACTTCAAAGCTGAAAGCCAGAACTTTAAAGAGCAATAAATGCAGCTTTAAGTTTGGTTTTAGGCCCTAATACAGACCTCATTATTCAGGCAAATATCATTTTACTTTAGAAAAAATAGTAGAAATGTTAATCTTGTGCATCTCTGCTCCCCAATCCTAAAAGAATCTGTATATTAAAGATGACCAGGGTGCCAGATTATAGCATTTATATTGTGATTTGTATTACAGATGTAATCTGTAAAATCCCAGTTGCTACTTTGTGCTAATCGTTGTTCTGCACACTACTTCGCAAAAACTTCAAAACTTAGTGAGTGTGGAAACCATTTTAAACTTTTCAGTAAATAATTTCTGTTAATCATATCATATTTCTTTCCAAGACATTTCAAATCAAGCTGGACTTGTAAGATGATGAAATAACAAAACTAATTATCCCATGGGAATTATTTCTAAAAAGATGTTTTCACTCTTCCCCCGACTGCCTTCGGTCAGAGTTTGACTACATTATATGGTTTGTTGACCTGCTTGGTTGAAGTTGGTCCGTAACAAACAGACAAATGGTTCGTCCAACCACCAAGTATTTTTTTAAAAGTGCCAATCAATTTCCAATGACGACTTCCTCAACCGTCTGGAGCACTCACGTTATCAGGGAGAAGCAGTTTTTCAGTTTTAAATAGCCTTTTGGTCGTGTTGTGTTTTTCTCCCCTCGAGCTGAAATAAAGCACATTTTGTCACCTATCAGGAGTGTGAGAGCGAGTGACCAAGCATCAAAGATTCTCATCTCACCAAAACTCCAAAAATCAATGAGGAAGCCTGCGGTCAATGCAGCACAGCAATTATCCAGAATGGCCGGAGTGCCCTTTAACAGATCCAGAGACTAATTCGGTTTGACTGAAGCAAATGGACGGGTGGGTCTGATTATCTCTCCGCATGCAGCTGGCCTTCCTTAACACACATATGAATACACACACATACACACACAGGGGTAAATACACAAATACCACGTCAATGATACACTCGTGCACATGTCCGAACAGACGCACACTTACACACACATACACCTTGTCTGAAAGCATTAGTATCTGAATGGATTGACCAGCATGCCTGAGCACATCTGCGCTCCGCCTGAGGACGATCACCTTGGGAAAAGTGGATGTTCAATGAATGAGGATATTGATCAGCGTGAAACCGGATTTAGGCTGCAAGCTCACATTTGACACTGTTCCACTTGTTGTATGTTTGAAATGTGAAGCACATTAAGACAAAATTAACATTAAAAGGCTGTTAGATTGCAGCAGCAGCAAAATAATTATTAAAATATACTTGTAGTATAATAAAAGTCAGTAAAATGCTCCTTGTTAGTGTGTATTTGATGTTTTTGGATTCATTTTTACTGCTGTAGGAGTTTAAGGTTGAGCTCATTTTAACTATTTTATATACTGTTAATCTACAGCAGTGCATCATATTCCATAAGATCGTCATATGTTTGTATCGTGGCTGTCATGTGAGAATCATGTGTCTCTAAAAAGTCAATTTTTCATGTGAGAACGGCAACAAACTGTTTTTAGCCTTACCTTCCGGTGAAAAGCTCACTTCTCCAGCCTTAAGGCCACCTCTAATTAGCAATATTATCTTTTAGACCAATAGTTAGGGTTGTTTGAACTCTGACATCAAGTTACATTAAATTGCACAATTTCATGCTGGAGTTATTCCAACTATCCATTTTATCTGTAATGGAGCATTGAACAGCAAATGGAGACACTTTTGGCCCATTGCTGGGCCTAAGAGCGCCGTCTAGTGCGCTGTGGAGGTAGTGGTACTGCCAAATATTACAGTTTTTGGTAATTAACAAAGCTAGTTATTGTTATATCGAAATGTGTTTAAAAAACAATTCCCAGATATAAAAAGTGTCAAATTGAAACAAGGTATGTTTGAACATCACCACTCCAATCCCGACACATAATCAGGGACACAACTGGCTCCAGTTGAAGCTCCAAAACGTGTAGTGAGGAGCCTGAATACATCACATTTGGATTCATGATCACTGAAAAACGGGAGTCTTGTTTTTTTGTCTAAAAGGAAAAATAATCTTGTCAAGCATGTTTTACATTAGAAAAGTAATCTGGCTTTTAAGAAAATATATCAATAATTTTGTCTTAAAAAGATCTTACAGCTAATATTGAGCTTGATTTAACCAGTAACAACAATGGTTGTATCATATTCCAGTATCCAGATTATTTCATTTTAAGAGAAAGTTGTCTTCAATGTTGGAAATGAAGCAGCTGTATAGTTTTTCATTGTTTTATTTTTGTTATGCTGTTTGAAGAAATTGTGTCTTAGATTTAGGTGCAAATAAAGTGACCAAAATACTTACTTTAATAATCTTAAATAACAATGCTTGTAATAAGCACAACTTCCTTACATTAAGGTCCATTACAGCCTTTCAGTGACTGATTTTTATGAATTGGTTTTAAGAATTCTAGCCAAGCAAAACAGGCTTACCCTAGTGTCAAATTTTCTTGCTAAATTCAAGAAAATTTTATTATATTTAAGAATATTGGGCTTGTTTCTAGGAGGGCTGTTTTTGCAGTGATGGCGGGCAGTGTGTTGAATGTGGTTACATGCTCTTACAACTTTTTTTTCCTGTTTTTTTTTTCCCTATTTAGGAAGGTGGTCCTTTTTGATCAGAAGTGGGTCTTCAGTTACAATATGTTGAGAAAACGTGGTGTAGACTGACTCACTGTTGTTACAGTAAGAGAAGAGGAACACTTATCAACAGAGAATATCACAGATTTGTCCTGGTAGCTCTTCACCATCTACATACCTAACAGTTTTCAGATTAAATGTATTATTCTGACTTTGCTATCACTACCAGCAGTATTTAATACCATTCTTTATCCACTGAGCTTTAGAGCCACATCAAAGTGCCAAAACAGCAGCGATTTATAGGCCAGCGGTAAGTGGAGCGGTGAGGTTGCTCCATGTAGATCAGACCATTAAAAGTCAAATCAGATAGACTCTCCTGCCTATCCAACGAGACCAGCAGATGAAGGAGACCCTGCAGGCAGCTGTATTTGATTTATCATCCCAAGATGCTCGCTGGCAATCACGTCCATGGATATTGACCGACCTCTTCACAATGTCTCAGCTACAATAAATAACAGCTGGGATCAGCGGGGAAACTGATGGGATGACACGCTCAAGGGCCATCCAGCTACATCCGGCCACAATGCTAAATTCAACAACAGGTGCTTGACTCGACTGATGTGCACGTTGGCTCTCAAAGGGTCTGTCCTGTTCCCCCACATTCTGAGGTATTTTGAAGCAGTGAAAACACCAAGTTGTACCCAACTGATCGCCACACATATTCACAAATGAATTAATTACCTGGAAGACGTCCATGCAATTACCAACAAAGGTGAGTCAGCCCTCACCCCACAGGAAGCTTTTGTGCGCTTCTTGGACAGCACAGCTCTCATGTGGTGTGGAACCAAATTCAAATTAATTAAAGTAGGGCCTGAGGAGTGCCTTGTGACATCCTTCCTAAGATTACAGGAAGCTGTGAGGCGAAAACATCCTGCCGCCTGCTGTCCGAGGCTCCAGGGAAAGGGAGCGACCACCTGTCACAGGCCCAGGCCGAGGGCCTCGGATCTGGGCTCACACTGCGTGCGTCTGTCACGACAAATGGAGGATGAAGTGGTCAAGAGGAAACGGCTCAGACAGACAGGTGATGGTTGATTTAGGGTTAGTGCTGGTCAGAGTCAATTCCTTGTTCAGAGACGAAGAGTCCGAACCACGCCCACTTGTACATAAAGTTACGGAGGCTGAGGAGGCTGATGTGTTTGAACAATATATGACTTTCAACCAACTGTGAACCTATTGTGACGTCACCCATCGGTTTGTGGAGTACGTAAGTGGAGAACCATCAGCCCAAGCAGCCAGTCACATAGAAACCAAACAAAGAGTTACAACATGAACAAAACTGATGTTCTGGAGCTGCAGTGAAAGAGGAACCCTCCATTATATGAGCGGTGAACTGTGTTTAATATTTAATAAGTAACACCAATACATCAATCTGCTGCTCGGGTGCAGAGGCTGCAGTGTTTTCTGGGTGCCAGTGTGTGTGAATAAAGGGGCTGCGGGGTTTTGTGTTTGTGTACATGTTGATTTCATCTCCCCCTCCCACCTCCTCCCACCTCCTCCTTTCATAATCCAGCACACACTCCCACGCTGCAGGCAGGCAGGGATGGATCAAGGTCCACAGTAATTAGAGACTCTAGCTTTACACAGGCTTTATAGCAATACACATTAACGCATGTGATTGATACTGATAGCAGGCACACACAACAGTTCCTTTTCTACATTAGATTGAAACTGAATTTATTCCAGAAGCCATTGCACCTCAAAAATCTGAATTTGCACCTCAGAGAAGTTCATTAATGTGACTTTTCCCTCGGGATAGATAAAGTATCTATCTATCTATCTATCATTAATATGGCATAAAAAAACAAAAATTAATAAAAAGGGCTCCAGACACAAGATTTATAAAGAGACCAAGTTTAATATCAAAACACAATGCATATTTAACATAAAAACAATATATTACAGCAATGGGAGTTGTGTTTTTATCTGCGTATAAAAACGGAAGCAGGCCCTTTTAAAGGAAACTTAGGACAGCTGCGCCATCTGCTGGTGGCGAAAGGTTACTGCTGCATCAGCAAGCAGGAGCATCTGTGAGGCTGTGCCCAGATGTTTTCAATGTTTCCTTTCATGTGTCCATGTGATCCTTCCTTTACTTTGCTCTCTCTTTAGGTCTGACTGATCATAAGGAATTTGAGCTAACTAGTTCTTCCAGGAGAACCTCGGCTGACCCGTCTCAGGAGTCGTTGGGAAGGCCGAACAGTTTGACGGTGCCCGCCTCCCGGTTGTTGTCGTATTTGCCCTCCTTGTCGTCGCAGGCGTAGGCCAGCAGCGGCCTCTTGGGGTGCCAGGCGACAGTGAAGGTCGGAGAATCACACTGCACCTCCCACAGCTTCTCTCCTGAAAGTGAAAAATACACGTCAGATTGTTTTAAAGCAAAAAAC